ATATCGGATGACGATATAAAAACATCTATCGTTTCATTTTACGCTATCGTTTGTTTGGTGGTGTCACAAAATAAACTGTTTACGGCAATATTTTTTCACACGCGACGGTAAAACCACCGTGTGTCCGCTTGCTTATTTTCCCCACCTTTTCCTAATTTTCCTAAACCTTTCACAATAATGCTCAAGATCCTGTTGAGACTTTTCAAAATAAAAATAATCACGTGAAAGAGTTTACAGAGGAGAAGCAAAAAAGAGCCGTTAGGTGCTAAAAAATAATCCTTAGACTCAAACGTTAGAGCAGGCTTGTCCCCGCAGCACGCCGTGTAATAAATACTCAAAGAAACCGCACAGCCCTAATTATTATTATTAGTAGTAGTAGTAGTATCCACCCCGAGAGCCCCTGGAACTGATATCACTTCCTGGAAAGTCAGAAAGTCATTACATAGGAGGGAGGAGAGCAATAAAAGCAACAGCGACTCAGAGTGGGAGGTGAGTGAGTTCCTGTAGTGGTGGTAAAGGTCAACGGTCTCATCTAAAATATCAATAAACACTCCAAATCTAATATTGACCTGGAAGATTAAACAGACAAAGCTGCCCCTCCCTCCTCGACCGATGCATTTACTGGGAACCATTTTCAACTTTGGATGAATCCACATGTGGTCTTGCCATGAACACTGATAGCATCAGGGCTGAGCCCGGATAAACCTCCTAAGTCAAACATCAGAAACACCTGACTCTGCTCACCTGCTCTGGTGTGTCCGTTGTTGGCCAATCGGAGGAGAGCTTTCTTCTTCAGAATGACACTCCCACCAATCAAGAAGGCCGACAGCAGGGCGAGGGTCAGGCCCAGCCACAGGTTGTAGGTGCTGTTTGACTGTACATCTGGAGACAAACACGACGTCACTGAGTGTGTGTTTATCAGCGTTATCACACCACGCAAATCCTGCCCCACACACACACAGGTCTGCAGTAAACTGGCACCACCGCTGGTGGGGAAGCCTCTTGAACTTCCAGCTAATAAACTGGTGGCTGTCCAATAAGAAGTGGTCCTGGGGTCATTAACCCACTTTACCCATCCAACCTCTGTGACACACTGGCCCACTCCATCATGTGAGCACAACAGGACACCTTAGCTCATGTGACGAGCTCTTAATCCGAGCAGAGCCCGCAGTCTGAGAGAGCAGCGCTTACTCGCAGTTCCTGAAGTTTCTATAGAAACGGAGGCAGAGCCTTCAGCCGCCAGGCCCCTCGCATTCAGGCGACACCCTCTCCACTCTGAGGCTGAATCAGGTGACCGTGAACCCTAAACCAGTTATGCTGCAGGGGGCTTAGAGTGCTAAGGGACCTCCCATGATGCACTGGGAATTTCTTCTCTTCGTGCCCAGGTGTTTTTACGGCGCTTCGCTCTGTCAGTAAGTTTTGCATCTCTGTGCTCTTCACCCCCCCGCTCACTGAGCCTGGCTCTGATGGAGGTCTCCGTCACTAAAAGCTGTTGCTATTTCACCTGTGAGGTGACTGAACGTTCAAAGATGAAGAGCTCACACTCATGCTATTGTTTCACACACACACAGAAAGACACCCCACCCCCCACCCACGGATATGTATATGTCGTCTCTGCTTGTGCACCTGATCTCGCTCACAGCGGTGATGGTCACGCCTCAGTTCACCTGAACGAGTCTGTGCTTCCTCCTCCATTGTCTGTACTGAGGAAGCGTGGAGTCACCTTCCTCTCTCTGCTGCTCTCTGATCTACTCCATGTTTGGTCTGCTCATCATCTTCAGCTGTGCTTCGGTGTTTGGACACATGCTGCCTGTCAGGCTACCACGATGCTAACACTGACAGGTACAGTTACACACATCCTGTGGAGTTCATTTCCTTGTTCCTCGTGTTACATCTGATCTGCTACACAGTTAACCCTGATAGTGCGAGGAACCGATCACTTCCTGGAAAGACCGTTTCAGGAACTCGTCTCCAGAGACACGGAGAACAATGGAGACAACAACACAATCAAACAGTCATTAAAGTTGCAGCTCATTAGGTTCCTGTAGGGGAAACTTCTAATGACATCATCCACAATGTCAACAAATAAAGAATTTTTTTTTCTTTCTCAATAAAGGTTTTTCATCTTGGAAACACTTGTGTGTATGAACATTAGCACAAACATCAGCCACTGCATCCCTCGAGTCTGTGTGTAACCTGACATCTGTCAGCAGTAATCAGGATTATTTGGGCTTGTTAGTTTATCATGTTTGCTAATACTCATAAACTAACAGCGCTCAGCGTTACA